ATTAGCATTCAAATATATATTTGAAATCAAATTGTTTTTATTTTTTGGAAATAACATAGTGTGGATGGATTTCTGCCAGTCTCACCCCTCCAGCCTGTGTCATAGAATAATTAATCTACATGCAATATCCCACCCCCAATGTGTTTAGCTGATTAGTGGGCATGAAGGAGGACAGAGGGAGTGAGCTGTCATTTATCACTGTGTATATGCACACATGTGTGACTCTATAGTCAAATGGGCTGCTCAGATGTGATAGGGAGGAAATGCTCAGCATAGAAAACCACTGAAAACTGAGCATGCGCAGAGTTGCCTCTACAGCTGCAAAATCCCTAGCTGAATTGGGGACATGAACAGAAGGTGGAGATAGAGAGTAGCAGGATTAACCAGGTTTTTGCAGAATACATAAAACAAATCTCATAGTGACTGAGTAAGTATGAACAGCATGTCATACAGCATTTATTGATAGGTTTTTATGATGTGGATTTAGCGACACTTTAACTATAACATATGGATGGAAGTTCTGAGCTACACAATTGAGCAGGTACTAAAAAGGAAAGTCTCTGTATCTCAGATGACAAATGTTTCCGTATCATGTATGATTAGGAGAGTGTATTACCAATTAAAATCTAATAACACTTAAGTGGGGCATACATACTGAGATTTTTTCTGTTCAACCACTGGGTTGAGTGAAAAAAACTCACAGATCCCTGAATCAGTATAAGCAATGTTGATGCAGGGATCTCATTCATCATATCTTTGCATTCTGACAGCTGGGACTCCCCCACCCTATCAGAATACACAGATCAGCGCTGCAACCATTGGTGCAAACACTGATCGAATGCTGGTTTCCAGCATTACCGTTCAACAGAAGTTGGTCATTAAATTGCCATCTGTTGAACAAACAGTGGTGAACACTTACCGAAAGTCGGCTGGTTCCTGCTGAACCATCTGACTTTCTGTACGTGCGTACCCAGCTTTAGGGCTCATTCAGACTGAAGCTGACAACCATACTCCATGCTGAGCCAGATATTTACTGTTTTCTGTGTCAGCATGCCTTGGAGCTGTGCACAGGCAGCCTGTCCAAGTGGATGCAGGCACAGTGGCTAAGTGCAGTAGCAGAGGCACAGGTTCGAACTTACCCTGTCTGTGCTCAGATCTGTGCACTTGATCCTGCACGCATGTCAAATTTTGGCATGTTGCAGTGACCATGCAACCACTGCATCTGTATCCACTTGTATGAGGCAGATGCAGACAAAGTAGCTCAGCACACTGGATGCGTGTAAACGCCCGTCTGAATGAGCCTTTAATGAGCAATAGATTTGTGCTTAAAGTGGAAGTGCACTGCATTCACAAACCAAAAATGCTGTTTCTTGCTAAATGCTGTCATTGTTAATATTAAAAACAAAGACACCCATCCATCCATATCTCCATGCTTTATTTTGCTGAGAAAAATATTTTTAAAAACGCCCCCTAGCATTTCTGGCAGTGGCCATCTTGAGTAAGGGCAGATGACTCATGTAGCATTGACTTCCTGGAATCCATTTGTCCTTATCTCAGTCATTGGCTGAGCTGAGATCCCTCCTTTCCCTCCTGAAGACTCCTGGGATGTATGACATTATTTACATGAAACCAGGAAGTAACTGAAGAAATGTTAAAAAAAAAGTTTAAAACAAGTAAATATGATATACTTTCCTATCTATTTACAAAATATGGCAGCATAAGGATTAAAAAAAGTCAATTGATTGAGAGAGTGAAGTTCCACTTTAAATTGTAAATATAGATAGGTATAAAAAAAGTCAGTGGGTATGCAGATGAATACCAAAGAACAAGAATTAGCAAAAATACATTTGTCAATAATAGCAAAATTGTTCCAGTTTTCTGAGTAGAGATTTGAGGTTTACCCTTTAAGGCAAACATTTGGAAATGTTATTGCTGACCTCCTTCCACAATATAATTTGCCTGGCTGCCCCTGGTTTTAATACTCTCTAAATCAGTGACTTGGAACAAACATAATCAAAAGATGATCAAGGGTAGTCAGAACTCCTGATCTCAATATTTGTTCTAAGTCAGTAACTTAGAATTCAGTTTTGAAGCTATAGGATAGGCATGACAGCTAAGCACCTAGCATTTTCAGAAGGACAGGCCAGCATTTATTATGTCGACACAGGTTTATTTCATCAAGCAATACTATCTTTAGTAAGCTGCAATAAGAACATGTTAAAACCCTGCCCGAGCTATAAACATTCAAATGTTTACATATTCTTAACAAGAAGAAATTTTGTTTTAAAAACAGTAACCTCACTAACCTATGTGGCTACAGCCAGTGTGAAGCAATTCACTCAAAGTTCACAGCAGAAGCACTAAAGTCAATTTACTCAGCAGTTCAGCTTACCCTGCTCCCCTCTCCCAGTAGTTACTTGGCAGCCTTCTAGCCACCCAATCTCTAATGTAAAAACAGAGCAGTTACACTTGGAGGGAGGGAGCTGAGCTGTTGAAAAAAAAATAATTTAGCGTTTCTGCTGACAGATTTGAGAAGGAATTGCTCCACAGTTCCTGCAGCCACAAAAGTCAGTGGAGGCTTGATTTGAAGCACATCTACTGCTTGTTAAGAATATGTAAATACTTCAATGTCCATAACCTGACACAAGCATCATGCACATGGATGTTTATTAGCACCTGCTGTATGTGGCCGCACTTTTCTAAATTACGTCTGCATCAGTGCTACGCATGTGCGTACACCTTATTTCCCCAAATTAGAAGTTGTACTCAGCACCTGCAGTTCCCCAGGCACTGGGGATTTCACGCCTATGGAAACAGGATCTAAAAACGTCCATGTGCTCGGGTCCTAAGCATCCAAACAGGATGGAGGGTCTTTTGTAAAACACTCCTGATATCAATTACAAGAATACAAATCTAGAACTGTTTGCAAGGTAATTTAAGGTATTCTTTAATAGACAGAATTGACAAAAAAAAAATTAGTATATTTAAAATTGTGTCTGTATACTGTAGATATGCAAATTACATATGTAACTCTTATGTTTTTCAAAAGTGGACTGTTACTTTTCACAATATGTGTCCTTCTAAAATAAATGCTTATATCAGGTATGATGTTTGGCCTTTCCTCTTTGCTCACATATTGTTTGTCCTGTTCTGCTATTCCAGTAGCATAATTAAAAAGCAGCTCAAATGAAAACGAAAAATCAGCACAATGTTGACAAAAGCTGGAAGCTGGAGCACATCAAAAGCTCTGCCCACAACTGCTGATGTGATTTTCTAGGCAGCTGATTGTTTAAAAGCCTTAGTGAGTGCTTTGCACATAACTGAAGCATATTCTTTAAAAGTTTCCAGGTTGGGTTATTTTATTTTAAAACAACCTGTACTCAATTGTATGGCATCCCTCATTTTCTCCTTTAGCTGTGGCTGAGATTTCAGGTCACTTTCAAAGTGACAGATTACAGTTTTTGCTCTTCATCTTTATCTCTGCTGCATTTGGAAGAGAAGATTAGAATATTGGTTTTTAAATCATATAGTTTTTTTAGACACAAATAAAAATATATAAACAGTTATTTTCTGGATATAATGTTTATTTCCAAGACTACATTGGACTGACACATAACATTTTCTAACATTTATACAACAGTGGTACCCTTAACATAGTGCAATATGGTATAATATGGTGGTTTGGTGGCTACATGGAAAATGCATTTTATGCATTGTACACCACAGGTAAGGCCACTGACAAGAGGGTATCAATGGCCATCCTGTACAGAGGGTAGCTTTATGGTGCAGACAGTTTCATACGCTGCTGGTCACAGCCATAGGAGGATCTGTTTCAGGGTTCCCTCCTGTCCCGCCACTCCGACCATTCCCTTGCCTTTCCACAAACCCCTTTCCTTTGCAACTCTGATGCCTCTGTGTCCCTCAGCCACCCCCTCCCCATGCACTGTGTTTCAGGCTTCTACTCCTATCTCTGTACAGATAACTAATGTGTTCATTCATAAATGAAGCATAGAAAACCCATGCTTTATTTTGTGAATGAACAGGGAGCCTCTTTACAGAGAACAGAGAGAGATGGAGAATGTTTCAGAGGACATGATTCTCATTCCTGGTGGACTTGGCTCTCCCAGATCATCCAGATGTTCTGTCTCAGGGGCCAAAAGGTCCAAAGTTCAAAGCTCCAAAGGTCCTCCAAAATACATAGCAGACCCTTTGAGGGTTGTATGTGCTGTTTTTTTTTTTTTTTTTAAATAAGCCAGTAATGAAATATATTTTGCCGGCAATTTTAAACAGTTTTTCCCTTTGTAAATGTCAGTGGTCCTGTAGCACTTTTTTGTACAGAGATGCAAACTTCACATGCAGGACTTGGACACCCCTCAGGTATTTAACCTCTAGCCTACTGGGCACTTATACCCCCTTCCTGCCCAGGCCAATTTCCAGCTTTCAGCGCTGTTGCATTTTGAATGACAAATTGCGCGGTCATGCAACACTGTACCCATATTAAATTTTTTGCATTTTTTTGTGACAGATAGAGCTTTATTTTGGTGGTATTTAATCACCTTTGGGTTTTTAATTTTTTCTTAAACAAACCAAAAACCACTGAAAATTTTGAAAAAAAAAATGTTTTTTCTTAGTTTTTGTTATAGAATTTTGTAAATAAGTGATTTTTCTCCCTCACTGATGTGCGCTAATGAGGCTGCGCTGATGGGCACTGATAGGCTGCACTGATGGACACTGATAGGTGGCACTGATGGGCACTGATGAGGAGGCACTGGTAGGTGGCACTGATGGGCATTGACAGGCATCACTGATGGGCATTGAAAGGCAGCACTAATATGGCACTGATAGGCAGCACTGATAGGCGGCACTGACTGGCACTAATAGGCGGCACTGACTGGCACTGTTAGGTGGCACTGACCAGCACTGTTAGGCGGCATTGATGCGCACTGATAGGCAGCACTTGCTGGCACTGATAGGCGCCACTGACTGGCACTGATAGGTGGCACTGATTGGCAGCACTGATAGGTGGCACTGATTGGCATTGACAGGTGGCACTGACTGGCACTGATGGGTGACACTGAAAGCCAGCTCAGATGGGCACTGATATGTGGCATTGATGTGCACTGGTAGGCACTGATATGTGGCACTGATGGGCACTGGCACGAGGCACTAATGAGCACTGACACGGGGCACTGATGGACGCTGACAGGTGGCACTGCTGGGGCTACACTGATCATCAGGGCACACTGATCATCAGTGCCCTGATGATCAGTGTACATGTCCCCTCCGTGGAAAGCCGATTACCAGCTCTCCTCTCCTCTCGAGCTGTCAGGTGACAGCTCGAGAGGAGAGAAATGCCGATAACCGGCATTTCCCTGTTTACATGTGTTCAGCTGTGATTGGACACAGCTGATCACATGACTGAGCCGACATCTTCGGCTGTGGACTAAGGGATGCAACATACAGCCTAAAAAAAGTACTGAAGTACACAAGATATAAAGTATATCATGCACCCTGGCCCTTTCATCCTGCTGTCACGTTCCCTGCCACAATTACTGACTAATCACAGTGGTCACAATGACTGCCGAGATGTACTCTACATCATGGCAGCCACTGCTGTGTAAGAAAGAGTTTCTGAAAAGTGTTTGGAACATTGTTTAGAAGAATCATTCATAAATACAAAATATCAAAATCATGTTACAATGCATTATTTCTATTTTATTCATCTTCAGATCAATTATGTGTCCTGTGATTTGTGTTCCTAATTAGGAATTAATTATTCCTAATTAATTATTTCTTCCCCTTCTCTTTTATTTTTCTTCCCCTTCTCTGCTATTATTTTTCCCTTATTTTCTATTTCTTAGTTATATATTTTAACCATTATTAAATAAACTGTGAGTTTAATATATTTGGTGTCACTTTGAAAACATGCAAAATTGCAATTCTTTGCACCAAAATTGTAATTTCAGCATCATTATAATGGCACCAATTCATAAAATGTATACTTTTTATTTACAGTGACATTAGTTGTCCCAAAACAAACACAAAGTAGATAAAAGATAATATTTTTAGACATGTTACTTTTTTGTCTATAGATTGCAAAGAAAATAAAATAATTTTGCTAGATGTTTTCACTAACTGTTTGTCCTGAAAAAACAAAGTCTTGCTTGTCTTAAAAAAAAGTAGACAAAAAAATTGTTGCATCAATATTCTCATAATAGAAAAAAAATTGCTCTGGTCCATAAGGGTCAACTCACACCAGACTAAAGTTGTCCTAACAAACAGAAAAGACAATTTCCCTTATGTGCTATTGTGTGTTAGGACATGGGACGAATAGGACATGTTGTATCGTCATGCAGCCCCTTCCACATGTTATAACGCACTGCAACAAGCTGCTGCACATACGGTTAAATGAAGTGTATAAATCAAGCTTTAGGCTTCGTGCACACTGGACATTCCTCTGTCTCTCATAAATGTCTTTCTTCGTAGCAGCAGCATTTTGTGAAAAAATATACACTTGATGATTGTAAAAGTGTTAACTGTCTTTAACCGCATCAAGTGTTTGGGCGTTAATTCATTTCATTGGCAAGAATAATAATTTATTCTGGCCAATAAAATGAATTTAAACTCAAGTACTAAACGTGCCTAGCATTAGCGTGCGTTTAAGCGTGTTTACACTCATTTACACGCATCAAACGTTTTCTGCCAAAATGCCGCTGTTCCTGGACGCGCTGCCAGTGGTTTTTTCTTTCCTGCCTACAAACTCCTCTAAAAGCCTATGTGTGCATGGGCATCTGGAGGGGAAAAAATGCCAGATGCCCCATGGAGCAGCTGAAAAAAAACATCCAGTGTGCATGAAGAATCAAAGAAGGGGGGAAAGTCAAGCATTTTAATAACGCATTGCAGCATGTGTGCACATCACACACCAGCACGCTCGGGCCATACTAATGAAAGCACTCCTATACATTACATGGAATGTACAGTAAGAAAACAGGCTGTTGGAAGTCTTGGGAATACTGGTTAACAGGAAATGATGTTGGCCCACTCAAAGCAAAAAGAAGCTTCAGAAGCTTGAGATGTATGAAAAGGGAAACAAAAAATATGATACAAGCAGGGGAATATTTACCACAAGGCAAACAAGGCACTTGCCTAGGGTGGCAGTTTTCAGGGGGGCAGCACCTCCCCCCAGAAGAAGGGATGAAAGAAGGGACACGCTTGCCATGGGAACCAGGTGGGATCCTTCTATGCAGAAGGGAGTCTGATTTTGGACTCTCCAGCTTTAGTAAATAAACCCCTATATGTTTAATCTTATCTTAAAAGCATCTGATCACACCAAGATCCGTGTGATCAAATGCTTTCCCAAGCCAAAAATGGCTTTGTTGACATCTGGTGAAAAAAGAAACAACAAAATCCTGCTTCTGGTTTCCTATACCAGTGGTGGGCAACCTTTTTTTTCAACTGAGCCAAATCTTGCCAAAACCACGATTGAAATTTATTTTGAGAGCCACATTTTTAAAACTGAAAATACATAGGATGGTACACTGTTTTTAGTTTCAATAAGTTTTTATAGTAATTCATCCCCCATAGTAATTCATCCCCCATAGTAATTCATCCCCCATATAGTAATTCATCCCCCATAGTAATTCATCCCCCATATAGTAATTCATCCCCCATAGTAATTCATCCCCCATAGTAATTCATCCCCCATAGTAATTCATCCCCCATAGTAATTCATCCCCCCCATATAGTAATTCATCCCCCATATAGTAATTCATCCCCCATAGTAATTCATCCCCCATAGTAATTCATCCCCCATATAGTAATTCATCCCCCATATAGTAATTCATCCCCCATAGTAATTCATCCCCCCTATAGTAATTCATCCCCCATATAGTAATTCATCCCCCCTATAGTAATTCATCCCCCATAGTAATTCATCCCCCCATATAGTAATTCATCCCCCCTATAGTAATTCATCCCCCATATTAATTCATCCCTCATATAGTAGTAGTAAGTAAGTAGCAAGTAGTAAGCCAAGTCCCCCCTGTGTCAATTCACTTACCTTTGCTCCGCGCGTTCCTCTCGCCGTGTTCCCGCGCTGTTCCGGTCTTCAGGGCGGACTGTGAGAGGAGCCTAGCTCCTCTCACGTTCGTCACGCTGCCCCACCTACACACATCCTGACAGCCAATCACTGGCTATCAGGATGTGAGTGGCAGCGAGACTGGCCAATCATTGCATTTGAGCGCGCTGCCCTGGCTGTTTTTTTTTTGGATCACGCTGCAGAGTCCCTGCCGCCCGAGAGGAGGGAGGGGAGCGGGCGCTTGGCACACAAGAGCCGCATTAAAAAGCGCGTAAAGAGCCGCATGTGGCTCGCGAGCCGCGGCTTGCCGACCACTGTCCTATACCATAGAGACCTGAATGTCCCCAATATGCTCTTTGGCAAGCTGACAGAACCGCCATCTTCAGTCCAGGCTGGTCGGTGGGATGGTAGTGCCTGGAGTGGCACTGGAAGGCTTTGGTGGGTGAGGGGTTGACCCCTCCGACTGCCTGTAAAAGCAATCGAGCAGCTAATTAGCTGCTAGAATTGCTTTTACATAAAAGCTGCCCATTGGCTGAAAGAAACAATACCAGGATGATGGGTGTAGATGCAGGTATTATCCTGGTATAATCGCTTGAAGTGCCAATGTAAATGGACATATTGCGGTGTTCAAGTGGTTAAAAAATGTTGTTGTTTTTTAACTTACCCAAAATATACTGACCATGACCTTTGACCCCGAACCTCACCTTGATCCTAACACAATTGTTTTCTTGATTTTTGTTTTTTTTATTATTTTTTTTACACACTTATGTTTATTTAACATCTTTCTCCCCTGCAATGAGAGAAAGATACAATATATTTCATGTTGTATCATGTTTGTACACAATGTATCTTTCTTCCCATTCAGAAGAGAAGGAAAACGTGGGTGACTGATCAGTGTGATAGCCAACAAGAGGCTATCACAGCAATCAATTGATCGGGAATCAGGAGTCCTGCATCCCAATTGTTAGTATGGGACCTGGGGCTCTCAGGTGAGAGCCTGGTCCCTGTACTGGGAGCAAGCTGAGTGTCACACTCCTGGCACAAAGACTGGTACTTATACATGTGGCCTCACAGTTACAGACCCATTTCCATGAGGCCACATACTGTATCTGCATACTGTTGGAGGGAAAGGGATAAGGGTAGAAAGACTGGTTTATATCATTAAAAAAGAGGACTTAAAAGTTATGTAATGATATGTATACATACAGTATATCAGGGGTCGAAATACAAGTAAAATGTGAAGTTATGACAACTAAGTAATTATAACAAGTAATGTAAAGGTCTAGGAAAACAATCTGACTGCCTTGCCGGGACAGGAAAATAAATTTTGCCTGAGAAACAAAATTGACCCATATTGGACCAGGGGTTTTGTTTTGTGGTAGTTTATGAGATCTTGAACTTAAAGTTTTGGATAGAGTGGAGATGGATTAAAACACCTGTTTGCTTTTATTGCTGTCTGTGCCCCCGTTAAGGAGATTACCCCTCTCCATATGTCCTGTTTACCATTATCATTAAAAGGGAAAGCCAAAGAAAAAAATTCATTTTGGGTTGTCATTAAAAGAGTAGTAGAGGGGAAATCTGGTTCTGGTGACCTGGGGGTCCCCAAGAAATTCCTTTAATTTTCAGGGATTTCCTCTCACTTCCTGTTTGGCTATGGGACTGGTAGTGAAGGGAAATCTCCATAATGGGACATAGATGGCCAAAAAATCTGACAGGGGTTATAACCTTCCCTTGATCTATCCAAAATGGAAAAAAAAAACATACACCTATAGTGCTACTTTATGGTACATGTATAAATAGAAAATTCAAATAGAATTGAGAATGTTCATACAATAAATTGTGAGACAAGTTACTTCTCGTATCCAATCATGTGAAAAGTAAATCACCATTCACTTATTTTATCTGCACGTGATTGGATAATGAAAGTGCATATTCACACAATGTATTGTGTGCAGATTCTAAAACCCTTTTAAATCTGCCTCTTAGACTCTAATAAAGTTTTCTCGATAGATGGTATGTTTACCCTCTACGGGTACTTTCCACATCTCCAAAGTGTACTGCTGCTGTTTTAAAATAATTAAAAGATGATGTGTAAACTAATCTGGGTATTTTATATATTTGGAACATATAGAATGGCTTTGTAAGCTTTATTTATTACATTTTTTTTAGGGGAATGCATACATGGAATGCATTATATTTTCTACCTCTGTGTTTTCCCCTATGGGTGCAAATTACTGGATGGCCTATTCATAAGTAAAGAGGGAGTCCTAGAGGCCAGCTTGATGCCAACCAATGATATTTAAAACAAGCAGCTTGCTTTACAGAATCCATAATGAGATGAACAATAATAGAGATACTATG